GAAGAAGGTCTTCTTAAATGAGCGCGACAGTCGATTTTTTTAGTGTTTCCGCAGATATATCTCCATTGAATTGAAGGTTCATGTCGAGTAAGTTTTTCAGGACGCTAAGCATGGGCAGTTGATTGATTGGTTACAGGATTTCATCATGAACTGACATCTGTTAGAGAACCATTGGAAAACCTGCCGTGGAGTGCTGGACAGTTGTTTCATTCTAGTTTGAGACTCCTCATCAGCACGCACACACCCACCGGGGTTCGAACCCAGGACCTTCTGGTTACAAGTCTAGTGAGCTGGTAGACCATTAAGCCACTGGGGCCCCGATCGAATGCCCAACATATGAATCCTAACGTCTACCAATTTACTTTCAATCTAGTGACGATAGGTTTGTTAACAATAAATTAGTTCATATTCAATATGTTAAGGGGTGTGTGATAGTTAACGAACAAACAGTTTAAGGATAGAAATGGTGACAACAAGTGGATTGCATAATGCACAATTGTGGAAAAATAAAAAGCAAGTTAAGGAATAAGTGAGTGATCAAGGTGATTACGTAATAAGCAATTAGGTATGAAGTAATTATAAGAATAAAATAATTCGGTTAATGATAATTTTTTGAGAGAAAAACTTAGTAGAAGGGTGTAATGGTCAGGTTTTTACATTCGTATAAAGAGACGGCCAATGTACAGAAAGTGGTTGTAAGAATTTATCCTGAACATACAGGTTTGGCTTCTCTGGGTGGATCTCAATGACTTCAGCTGCATGTAGAAGACGAAGTTGTAAAGCAAAATAAAGATTAGTAGGAATACGTTAAATGACTTTAAGTGCTGTATGAAGAACACTTTTATGCTCACTATCTACAAAGTGTGCAAGAATGTTGTCATTCCCTACTAATTTGTTGATTAGATATATCATACACAGAGTGAAACAGTATTATTTACTGGATGACGACATTCCGAACACAATTTATTGTTCATAATGTTATCCCGTTCAATAGGATGGCTTACGATGACAGTTTTAAAATCTGATGTAGCAGAATGGAGGGTTAGATTGATAACGGAAGCTTTATTTGTCGAATCAACTGCGAATCAACATGAAATAGGAATGATTCAATACCTGCCCAATTGGATATCTGGAAAATTCTACTACCACACCCACGACGACAAATAGGAGAGAACAAAGAAAACTATAAAATTTTCAAGTATTGGTTTTGTAGGGATTTTGTTTGATTGCATGGAGGACTTAATCATGAGCTGACATCAGTTAATCTGATGCTCACTAGCGACTGGTCCTATTCAGGCAGTTAACCTGGGGTTCTAGTGGGAAGCTGTGACCACTAGGGTACAGCAGGTCGAAGATGAGGCAGTAACTCATCAAAGAAGACATTGCGAAGTGGTCGCGCTATGTCGTGAATTGGCAGAAGTTAGAATTCAAGAACCATTGGATCGGGTCCCAGTTGCTCAATGGTCTATGAGCTAGCTCGCCTTGTAACCAGAAGGTCCTGGGTTCGAACCCGTGGTGTGGGTGCGTACTGATGAGGAATCCCAAACTAGGACGAAACAGCTGCCCAGTACTCCCAGGTTTTCCAGTGGTTCTCTAACTGATGTCAGCTCATGATGAAATCCTCCATGCAATCAAAACTATAAAACTCAAGTTTCGAAGTCGTGTGATTATAATTGATTGGTATGATTATGAACAACAATAAATTTTGTTCGAAACTTTGTCATGCAGTCAATAATACTTTTTCACTCTGTGTGTGATATATCTAATAAACAAACTTATATGGAATTATTAAAACACTGTTATATATTTTTTGAATTTTAGAATCAAAGATTATAAGTATATTTTTATAGAAATTGTGAATATTTTTGAGTTTTGTGGTTAACATCCAAGTGTTCTTAAGTATATACGAAGATTAATTGGAGTTGTGAAGAAGTCAGGTTCTGGAATGTAGATATGCATCCAAGTGTTCGACTCTTGTCATACTTCTTGGTCTGAAGAGTGTTGCATTTAGCTCTATCGATCGCGAAGTGTTGTAGCGACGTCTGACAATGAACTCACTTTACTTGAACACTCATGCAGTGACATAAGAGTTTTACGTAGAGTTGCTGTTTAAAATGATAACAATCACTGTTGACCATCAGGTATGCTCAGTGTGACCATATTTCGGTTATTGATTCAGGGACGTGTGTTCTGTGCAGCAGTTTGTTCTATCCGTCATTATGGGTGTGAAACATGGTCATTTAAAGTGAAAGACTATACATGTTTGCGTTCTACCTGTCATGTTAACTGATGTCATATGGTGGGTAATGTTGAGGCTGGAAGTAGAACGTTAGAGTAAGGAGAGCTAGTCAGTCAATATGGTGCTAAAGCTAGCTACCTATCGATTGGAATGGCTAGGACATATTGTTACCTCATGCTAAGTCATCAGCGTCAGTGGCACAGCAGTAGAATGCTCGCCAACCAAGTCTCATGTGGTTCGGGGTTTGATCCCCAGTCCACATCGCACCCCTTTACCTCGCTAAGCTGACAATAAGACTGGTAAAGAGGAAGGTTGAGCATGAGGCTAGCAACCCCATCCCGCTAAAAAAATAAACACCACTGCTGCCGAAACTTCAAGCCTCTACTAGCTTGAAGCCCTCCCTATGTTCCACTGGGTCTGTCTGGATTCAACATAGAACTTGGCACCGAAGTGCACCAGTTCGAGTTGCCACGTTTCAAATAGCACACAAAGGTACACAAGAAGATGAGTGAAGAGCATCAATAGAGTTTGACAAGTATTAAAGCGAAACACAATGGGTAATGACAGAAAAGATATGAAAGATTACAGAGACTGAATACATCTCCGCTGGCCACTGACAACGATTTTGAGCCATGTCACCTATTGTCTGCAGACATTGATTCCTAGAGTCCCGAGGGCCCCAACTCGGAAGTCTGCATCTCCCTACCTGACTCAGTTTAACTGTCATGGACTGATGCCATGTTTTTGTTTGGCCACCACTTACCCTTTTCCAACCTGCACCACCTATATCAGCTAGTAATGCCCGTCGGGGGAGGCGATGGTTAGGGATGCGCACCACCTGACCTAGCCATCTTAATCTATGTAACTTTATAGCCTCGTCGATTGATTTCCCCTCTTTGCCCAACACTCTACGCCTAACATCAACATTGCTTACCTTATTAATTAAACCACCTAACGTGAGAAAGAGATCGCAGACATCTATGATCAAAAACAATCAACCTTTTCATGTCTTCAACTCGTATTGGCCATGTTTCAGAGCCATAGAGAAGTACGGGACGAACTGGTGAGCAGTACACACGTCCCTTGGTTGATAACCGGATGTCACGCCTACGCCAGAGATGGTGTAAGTCAGCGAAAGCAGCTCGAGCTTTTTGGATCCGTGCTGAGATTTCGTCGCCAACCATCAGTCCGTTGGTGCTGGGAACGTAAAGGTATAAAGAAAAATACTAAGTCAACACCTTTCTTGTCTGGTAATGTTTGCTGGCTTAGGATTAGGCTGGAAGAGGGTTAAAGGTGATCAAATCAGAAAGTGTAATCAATCCATGAATTCTTCAAGTGTTAGCTCAAGGTATCTACGTAGAGAGAAGTGCAGATTGTATGTCTGGGATCCTGAGGACGCTAAGAACCAATGGCTGTAGAGATCATTAATGATATGGCCCGAAATGGTTCTCAGTCAGTGGTAGCTCAAATGGATTCACTCTTTGCCATGTCTCAGATCCATTTTACTTCCTACATTGAAAATTGAAATTCAATCAGCGGTCAAATTAATCCATCAAATCGATAACATCTATATTCTGGATATTTAACTCCATTATGGATAAGACGAGTGTTTTTATAGTCATAATTAGTTACTTGTTAGAATGATGTGATGTGTATGAATTGAAATAGAATTTTAAGATTATTTATTGTCCTCTTCTGATTTGACTGACTGGCGGTAATAATATCTTCCATATTTCTGGTATTTGCATTGAGTCATTTCTGTTGCATGTGTTGTGTTGGGTGTAGACTCAATGAACCAGGATTCAGTAATCAACCTCTCTCTCCACTTACCTATATTACTTTTTAGAATTGTAACTCTATCCAACCCTATTGTGTGGTTGTTTTTTAATGCGTGAAGTGCAATTGCTGAGCTTTTTTCTAAATTACTTATCTTCTCGGGGTCAACCATTCTTACCTTAGCTAAATTCTTATGTTCTGACAGACAATCTGACTACCCCGACCTACTAGTTTGACGCATGTAGTTGACTTCACTCACATTCACTGCAAGGTATTTTGCAAATTATATTATTTTGTTTTATTGGGTCAACCTACAGCGTCCTTTAACCTACAAAGCTTGTCGTATCTGAGTGAGTTTGTAGGTTTGAATGCCACCTTAATTCCTGCTTTATTGAGAATCCTACGTAGGGTCTCAGATGTCCCCTCTTTATATGGCATAACTGTAGATGACTTATATTCTCTCTTATTTATGTTATTATTACTAGTTCCACAATTATTTTTATTTTTACTTTGGCCTTTTTCGATTACCCTAATGAATTTTATAGGATAGTCATTTATTTAACACCAACACCTCTTCTATCTGTTTTATTTCGTCATTTAGGTCTTTTTTTGTGCTACTTAGTGCTACTGCTCGGTTTGTTAGACACTTAACTAGGCCTGCCTTTTAACAGTTAACGGATGAGACGAATTAAAATCTAAGTATCTATTAGAATGAGTTGGTTTTCTGTACACTCTAGTGTGTAGTTTGCCTTCCCTATTCGTTTTATCTTACAGTCTAACATCACAGCTAATTCTCCTTTTTCATTTTCTGATTCAAATGTGAATTTTATTCCCTCTACTATTTATGCATATATATATATATATATATATATATATATATATATATATATATAATCTCGTGGTGTTATTCACATTTATCGATCTGAGAGTAACACTGATTGTAACTATTCTATTGTCTTTTTTTTCGTCTTTTGTATTTCTATAGGTTGATCTACCTGTATTCTTCTATATTGATCCAGAGATTACATCAGATCCACGATTGAAATCACTGGACATGATAATATTGAATTATACATTTTTTGAGGCTAAAAAATCAAAACTTTATGTCCCTGGGATAACAACACCAGAGTATGCTGATGTAGAAACACCAACACCAACCACAGACGACAGTACCAACTGCCGAGTTAGTTAGCTAGTTAGTTATTAGTTAGTTAGTTTGTTTGTTAATGTGAGATGATTCACTGTGTATAGTCTCATAGATCCTGGTCGAATGCTTTCGTATTTTGCCTTCATCTTCTCTTTTTTTTGTTCTGTTTTTTTTACCTCTTCTGTAAGTAAGAGATTGTACATAGGATTCCTCTTTTTTATATTCTATATGTCTTATACGCATTCCTCCTCCTTTACAAAATAAACGATTGTGTATTTTTGTGAAGAATTCTTGTTTATAAAACTTTAATGTAAGTATCAAGACGAGTATTTGTCCAGTGAATGATGTTAGTTATATTTAGACTTAGTCAAATGCCAAAACGTGTAGTAGAACGTCTATTTCGTCATTAATTTAAGGCTCTTCAACTGCGTGTGCATACATACCCATAACTAAGTCACTGGGGTTAAGTGGTGTGGGGTGGGGGGTACTGTCAGCGCTTTTCTCTCACTACACAACCGGGATTTCATCATGAACTGATATCAGTTAGAGAACCATTGGAAAACTTGCATGGAGTACTGGACAACCGACTCTTCATCAGTGCACACCCACCGTCACGGTTCGAACTCAGGCCCTTCTGGTTACAAGGCTAGTGAGCTTGTAGACCATTAAGCCATTGGAGCCCGACTCAATGTACAGTACATGAATTCTAACTTCTGTCAGTTCACGACATAGCGCAACCTCTAGCCAATGTCGTCCATGGCGCGTATTTGTCCTCACACCTGACCTGGTGCACCCTACTGGTCACGACTTCTCACTAGAACTACCTACCTGAATAGGGCAAGTCGCTAGTGAGCATCTCATGGATATTCAAGTGTTGTTTTGTAGGGATTTGATGATCAAATTTCATGATGGAATCCTGTAACCAATCTATCAAATCCCTACAGACCAACACTTGAACCGGGGATTTATTTCTCAAGTTTCACAATGACAACGATAGTGGGGGTATACTAATACTACTAATAATGATAACAATAGTGATAATAGTACTAATATTAGTAATAATGATCGTAATAATAATAGTAGTAATAGTAACGATAATAATGTATTCCTTCACGTTCCCATAGGGGTAGGGGATTTCAAGCTAGAGGCTTGAAGTTCCGGTAGCAGTAGTGTTTACTTTTTACGGGGTGGGGTTGCCCATGCCCAACCGTCTCTATTTACCAGTCTTATTGCTGGCTTAGAGAGGTAAAGGAGTGCGGTGTGGGCCGGGTATCAAACCCCGGACCTCATGAAGCGTGGTCGGCTAGCATTCTACTGCTGTGTCACTGACTAATAATAATAACATCTTTATTCTGGACAGTATTTATAGAGTGTGCAGAATTTTCAAAGGAGTTTATCGCGTTAAATTTTCCCTTCGTATAATAACTTCAAGTGAATATATTAATTGACAGTATATCCTGTGACACACATCGGTTTTTGAGCTGAAGCGCATACCATTCCATTATGATATATATATCTGCTTTGTCTCCTTCCTTCAAGAAATCCACGATGTCGATCTAGTTGAAAGCCAGTTGTAAGAATTTCAGAAGTACATTTCGAGACCCAACTGAAGAACACTTGTCTCATGTATCAGAATATTTTGTCACCCAAAATCGGACCTTTCTTCAAGTTTAATAGGACCTTGCGAAACAGAAGCTTGCAAACATTTTAAATATACACAAGAGTAGATCATATCTTAATAGATTAAAACAAACCGAACGGAAGAAATGGGAATTTTTGGTAGCCCAAGGTTTAAGCAGGCCGTGATAGTCCGAATGGTCAACGAGTTTGATCTCATAACCTAAGCATCCTAGGTCCGTACCCTGGTGGTTGTGTGTACTGTTTGAAGAAATGTTAAACTAAAAACGAAACAGATGTCCCGCAGTACTGCTTTGATGGCTTTTTTTCAGTGATCTCTCTAACACTGATGTGTCAGTTGATTCGTGGCGAAAATTCTTAAATTCCTACAAAATCCAATAATCTAAATACACCTAAATCTCCATCTCATTGGTGGCTGTTGAATAGAGATTTCTTGAAACTGTAATGAGAAGTTGTCATCAAAGCGGTCCACAATATCAGGGTGTTCATCAACGAGGGTAGAACTCCTGATGGGTTTTTACTGACGAAGAGTACCATACTACAGGGTTGACGAAATTGCTGGCTAGAATTCTATTGCTGTTTTTCAGTGATTTACCAACTGAAGTCTACTTGTGATCAAACTTTAAATCGATGAAATCCCTGCAAACCAACACTATGGTGGTATGTTAGTCCGTATGAATGATCAGTTTTAAGGTATAAGGGTATATATATATGAAAATAATTTGAGGTAAATGAAGGGGTGAGAATAGTTATGCAATTTGAAATCAGTTAGTTTGGGCAGAGGTGGTTAGTTAGGAACAAGTTATTACAGAATCAATAATTTATGAAATAATCATAAGTATATTAAAGAAGAAAAGATCGATGAGGCTCGAAGGAATGTTTATTGGGACAAGCTCATTGTAGGTACACAAATTTGGTATACCATATCTCGAATGCTTTATTTGAACATCATTTGTAAATTGATCGAATATCACCACATTCGAAAGCTTTTCGGATTACTCACAGTGTTTCTAACGTTCTTTTCACAGTTCTGTCCTTCGTTTGCTGTTTTTTCCAGTGTCGGAAACATACTGTTGGTTTTTCCGAACTCGTTTGTTGGTATACAATTTACAAAGATACAAATAAGTAAATTCAATTAGCTAGAATAGTTATCATAATAAAATAACAATATGGATTGATAGTTACAAGGATAGGGGAAATAATTTGTAGGCAGCCACTATAAATGAAGGGATTGTATGAATTTCTTCTGAACGCTCACATATTTTGCTTGTTCAATAGATGAATTGTAATCACTTCTACTGTGTTTTCAAAACAAATTCTCATAGTTTGACTCTTTGCTTTGGCCGACTACCGCTCACCCCCCCCCCACCCCATTCCTGTAACTATCATTTGATATTGTCATTTTATTATGATTACTGTTCTTGGATCAAGGATCCAATAGACCTAACAAGGAAAAATAATATAATTAGCCCAATACCATGATATGACTGGAAGTTGGGTCAGTTGCGTATAGGTGAGACTAATAATTAGATCAAGGTCGGTTAGGTTAACGGGACATGGGAATTGAGATAGATATACAATGATTTAGAAAAAATGTTCAGTGCAGTGCACTCACTTGCATACAGTCACACGATAAGGTAAGATAGGGTGAAGGTATTGAAGAGTAATCTAGTTAGATGAAGTGAGAAGTTGGTCACGGAGTTCTTGTTCATCAAGTCAGCATCAAATACGTGCAGTCCTGATTATTTGGAAAATTGTGATAAGAAATAAGACTATATAAAGTAAGTTATGACGTCCGTCGTGTGGATACACATTGACATGCTTATAAGCAGATCGTGTCGCTGTTACGATATCGTCGTTATGATTTAAAGTTCTTTACACAAAAACGTTTAGGAAGGTTGGTTGTTTTTATCAGTGTCATCGAGTCAGCAATTTAAAAAAAACAATTGATTTGAAATACTCTGTATCTCCACATAAAACTGGAACTAAATCATTCATCTGTTTGATTAGATTAACCAAAATTGGACATTTGTGTTCAGCTACTTAACGTTGGACATTACATCGCAGAATTTAGGTCCAACTTCTAGGGTTTGGATTTGATGAATTGGTGATAGAGAGACATTAAATTAATTAAAGGCATCAGTATGGTTCAGAGTGTATTGTTTCAGTATATACGGATTTCAGTATTCCTGTTACTACAGCATACATTGACAGTGTACTAGTGAACAGTTCGAGAAGACACGGAAGGTTTATTAGGAAGAAAGAAATTGTAGTAATTTATTGTAATCGTAGTATTAGTATTTCGAGATGACCGAATTACAAGAATCCAAACAAAACACAGAGAAGGCGGAATTCAGGAATTTGTATTTAGCGGAATTCTAATGCAATTCATATAAGGAACACATTAACAATCAACAGTAAGTATTTAAACAATAAAGAGATAGAAATTGTCAATCACCACATCCGCCACACGTCGAATATCTCCTTGCGTATTTATAACGATGTCTCGGTTTGCTTGCAAGTAGCTGCCACCTTCTGACTGATTCTGTGATATCATTTCTATCAGTATTATCTGGACTTATTTCTGAATTATCTACAAAATCAGGATTAGTAACGGAATCATTAATATTATAATTGGAACGACCTACTTCATTTATTGTCACTTTGTCCAGGTGTCCGTTATGAACTGAGTGATCTTTGATGTCTAATATCTTCACCACTCGATTTCCCATTTTTTGTAGTATGATTCCAACAGAAGGTCTGTAGTCATTCCCTTTGTAATAATGTCCATTAGAAGTCGTGAACATCAGATGCTTTTTTGAGAATTCGAGATTTGAAAAGTTTTGCAGGACTTTCACGGGTACTTGTATGCTCTGCATTCAACAGACGCAGTCTTGTTGAGTACGTAACAATGTGATTGTACACTTTTTGGTTACTTGTATAAATTCGAGATATTGTACATAATTTTTGTTTAAAACGCTTCTTGTTGAAATATACATAACTTCCGTGTACAATTGAAAAATACACTCTGCTGTTGGAGACTTCGTCTTCTCCCTGGTCACTTCTGCTTACTTGCTCCACTCACACCGTGTTGTATACTTCGGATTTATTGTAGGAGCCTACTACTCTCAACCGAAGACATTTCTACAACCGGAACACAGCAGCTACAGCAGACGCAGTCCAAACAATTAACGTGCCCGTGGATTATATAATTAATTTGTAGCCGAGGACTTAGACGTTATCTTCAAGTAATCCTTTTTGTTGCTATAACTCGTCACTGTATTTTTGGTAATATATTGTGATTTAACACTCCACTGACTTGGATTATTACTTTTATACTTGGAATGTTAGTGAACTCTAATATTAGTCCCCTACAAATTAATTGGTGAGCCCGATAA